GTTTACTGACTGAGGTCAATGATTGCTTCCCACTATCCTCTTTGACATTAGCAATTCACCAACTCTATTTAAGATATCTTGTTTATTTTGTTTCCAGCTTCCTGTCTTATACCCAGGGGATATACTTATTTCTAGATTAAGCTCTCTTGTGCAAATGAATGTGAACTATAATATTAATTTACAGCACATTCAAAAATAATAATCTACATTTTCCATGGAACCCCCTTTTTTTTTCCAGAGTAAAATTAATGTTATGTTCAGTTATGTACTGAAAAAATTTATAACAGTAAGTGGAAGACTACTCAATCGAATTTCTGACTGAAAATTAGCCCAAACATGTTTTTAGATAGGAATAAGAAAGTAACTGATATAAGGCCTAGATAACAGAAGAAGTATGTTCTCAGTTGTGAGAGGGGCAATACGTGTGTTCTTTTAAAATAAGTACATCTTTTAAAATGCAAACATGATGTGTGGCAAGACTGCAATTAAAAGATTCCAGCTCTTAAGAACTAAATATGACCTTGTTTTTCCATTAGCTTTCACATTTTAAATGGTTTATGGGACAGAGGCACTAGCAATAATAATAAAGATGAAGACACAGAACATCAGTTGAGCAGACAGCTGCTCTGGTGTCATAAGATGATGTATTCAAGAACCAATGACAGTTGAAACAAGCATAACACCCATCTCTCACTGCCAACTTTTCAGCCTCTGTAGCTTTAACAGCAATTTAATAATGCAGGCATCAAGAGCCAATGGATATTTCTTTCCATATGTAAATTGTGTAACTTTCTGATTTCTGATCACAGTCCTACTTAAAAGCACTAGATCACTGAAGACTCTGTTTGTTGTTTCTTCAAGCCTTAATTTACAATCCTATCTGCTAAATACTGGAATGGTTATCCTAACATTCTTCATCTGAAAACATCTGTCTTGAAAATCCTTCTAAAGGTATATGTTAAACCTAAATTATTTTGTGTGTGCTTTTAAATTCTTGTCTTTACCAATATAAGCATTCCGTTAATTAATTAATGAATAGAGGCAAAACAGTGTAACTATTAGAAGAATTTAAGATTGTAAAATAATAAAGAGGGAGACTGGACTTATTAATTCAGCCCTGCCTGGTTTTACACATTATTACATTATTACACGATCATATATTTAAGACGATACGTTGATACAAGTATGTTGTTGTTCAGTTGTTAAGTCGTGTCCGACTCTTCGTGACCCCATGAACCATATCGCGCCAGGCCTTCCTG